ACACTGCTGTGAGAGCCTTGCAGGGGGTTGATTTGAAGGAAACAGCAGCACCCACCTCCTGGGAAAGGCTGCGAGTTGCCCTGCGTTGCTCAGTCTAAGCTGTGCTAAGAAGCAGGTTTGAGTGTCTCTGCTGGCACAAGAGATAATCTCTTCCTTCAATATACTTCATATTGACTGATGTGTTATCGATTAACAGACAAACAACTTTAAAGCTGGGATGTCCAAACAACCTGGTTCATTAAACTAGGAAGTCCAGGACAGGTTGACTTAGGGAAGACTGATGAATGTGTAAATTTATGAGACAGCCCATCTGTAGCCTGAAGCTTAAGGCTAAACGGTTAATTAAGGTTTATGGACTGGAGCTAGATTGTGCTCTTGAGGGACAGCGTAAATAAAACACACCATTACTCAGGGGGAGAGAATTGGCCGCCATCAAGGCAAAATTGACATTTTTCTCCCTCAGAGAACCTGTTGCTTTGCGACAAAGCTTCTTTTAATGCGACCCCGTACAGCACCCATGAATGGCCTCGGAGGAGCTGAGTGCAGGGTGCGAGCTGTCCCACTGCACAGTTTGCCAAACATAAAAGAGTAAACAGAGGTTTTCTCACAGTTAACAAGCCAAAGAGTGAAAGGGATATCTCATCAAAGCTACTAACTGGTAGTGAGTATTTCTAAATTACAGTAATCTCAGAGGCATTCGACAAATTAAACTTAAAATGTTAGACAGCTCGCAAGTTATTTATGGAGTGCTGCGTCTGAATGCTTTTGAATAATTTCTTTGCCATATGTTACGGATAGGGTTTGGTGGTTTGCAGGCAGTGAAGAAAAGAATATCGACAGACAAAAAGTGCTGCCTTTTCTCATATTTTAGGGCCTGTGGTGAAATTTTATAAAGTGATTTGCCTTTTGTGTTTTTATTACAATGGTGCTTTTATTTGCTGAATATTTGGCAATCCCTATTTAGCAGCGCATCTGTGGAACATGCAGTGACTGTTTTCCATTTTATGGTGACAATACCAACAGATCATAACCAGTGTGAAAGGTGGAAAACATACACTGGCAGTACAACTTTCTCATAATACAACTCTATAATGTTCATACATGGGCTATTTAAATCTGAAATATGACTTTGGAAAAGTGTTCAGGAGTGAAAGCATGCATTCTTTTTTACACACACATTACATACTACAAGCTATTTAAATAAAAAAGCAGCTACAGCTAGTTATGATTTATTAGCTTTGTGAGAATGTGATGTGCTAACCAGGGTAGTAAGAGAAACTGAGCAAATAAACATCATTAATGAGTGGATTTTGCCAGGCTGAAGCACTAATCATCCAACCCACACCACCTTTTTTAAATCCAACTATTACTTACCAAAGCTATTTACGCAAACATTTAGATCCAGTAATTGTTAAAGTGTACCAGGGAGTGGAAAAGAGAAAACAGGCGATAGGAAAAAACTCTGCAAGACCACATTGTTACTGCAAAGTTTTTAAAGAGCTGATCCAGAATGTTACTGCTCTGTTAAAGTTCATTTGAGGAACCTGATATTTTATTTGGCTAAGTCTTGTGTTGCCACTAGACTGCAGACTGGCTGAAACCATCAGAAATGGACCCCATTAAAGATTTATTGTGACCAGTGTTGGACAGTGATCTAGCAATTCCCCGGCCATGTTTTAACACCGCGTTATCAGTGTCCATGCAGGGATTTCATTTGTTCTACAGTATATTTTTATTTGTCTAATATGAGATGGATAGATACTCTGTACGCTCAGGTAAAATATTCCTTGATAATGTAGTTTACTACGTGATGACAGACAGGACCATCGACCATTATTTAACTAATCAAGTCAGAGGGGAAAAAAAACTTAAGAGGACTGGAGGGTTTATACACAAGATTCATGGGTGCCATTTAAGAGAATCAAAGATCCTGCTTTAGAATGGGGATGGTGATTAAAATTCTTTATTTGCTAAGCGACCGTTTAGCCCCCCAAAACTTCCCCTCACCCACCAGCCAAAAGGCCATATACAAACAGTGAGGCATTATGGAGCTATGTACTGGAGGCATGTGAAAGACATGGGATTTCTATGCGACCGTATCCGCTGTAATAGACATGGGCCAAGGGATTTACTGTGCCTTCTCTTTAATAAATGTGACCAAACACGATGCATGTCAATGCGCCCCAAGGACGCTCTCACCACCACACGCAGATTCGCACAAACTTGGAGGAAACCGACATAATACACAAATATAATTGCACAGTCACACAAATACAAATGTATAAACAGGAACAAAAAAAAAACAACAAAGAATAAGGGAAGATACAACCTCACAATACAGGCACTGTCACACAAACTAAAAGTCTAAAACCCTAAAAGTCCCTCTTGCCTTTGACAACTTGATATTTAATGGGAAGCTGTTCCACAGTAGGACCACCGATATAAAAAAAAACATCTGGCATTATTATTTACTTACTGAGAACACAGTGTACACAGAAAAAGCTGAACTTTTATTTCATGATGTAAATTTAATATGTAAACTGAAAAGAAGATGTTTAGAGAAAAAAAATAATGCTATCAAACTTTTTGGTACTTACAAAAGGCTAATCAGTTGCAAAATATTACACCTGACCAGCTGCCAGATAAATAAAAATATGTTTTCTTCAACCACAGATGCCCAGTTAAAGCTATTCCATGAACAGTGAGTAGCAACATTATTTTACTGTGTGGCTCTGTAGGAAATCTTATTGTTTTACATTCTTCCATGGGGGGATAACTTGTATGTTGCTAAGCAGTGGCCTACATTTCTGATTTGCCTGCAGCAGATGTTGGACAAGCATTTAGATTAGCCTCGGAGCCTGCAGCCCCCAATGTCTCCTGCTATCTGCACAACTAGTTAACTCAGAAATGCTGTGAACAACTTTCCATAAATGAGGAAGAGAAAAGAAAAAAAACCCTGAAATATCCCTGGTCTGATCTTCAAGTTTCCTCTCAACAAGACGCCTTGTAAAACGCCTTTAAGCAGCTTGTATGGATGCCACAATTTGGGGGGCTGTGCTCAGATTTTCAAATAATGGCAGACATTTGCCAAAGTCTGCTGTTCTCTAAGCCAGAAGCCATTATGGAAACCAGCACCCAGTAAGTTCTTTTGTTTCCATCCATTTCATGACAGATTTCAATCAGCACAGCAGTAGAGAGGGTCCTAAAGCTCTGCTCAGGCTGCTTAATGAGTTTACCTTCACTGAAATGAGTGAAAATGTCCCAGGAGGATGGACCACTATAGTACAATGCACAGGCACACCGCCTGCCTGAATATGTGAAAGTCAGTCGAGTCATTCACAGAACTAATTTAAAAATGTTGAGAACCTGGAGCAAATTTCTCAGTCATTTAGCACTTAACTTAAAAACAGAATTATCTCTTCTGCTCATGATGAAGTGTTTGTCGGGCACAGTGGCCGCTGCAGGATGCTTTCATATAAATACCAAATGTAAGAATACAACATATTTTTGAAAAATAATCAACCAGCGTAAGTCCTTGTCTGGCAGAAAACTTTTACAGACTCATGGCTTAGGGTGATAAATTCTACTTTGTCAATTTTTCTCCATGTGTTACATGGTATTTTGGAGTAGAACTATAGTCAAATATGGCAGTACAGGAAGATAAAGGCAGACGTTAACGTGTTAAGATGAATGTCTGCGGTTGAAAATGGGTCATGGTAGACAGCAGACTTGGAGACATGTCTGCACCATCCACCTTCAACATTTCCTGCCAGATAGTGCCTGGGAGAACCATTTCCCCCCACTGTCTCAGCCGAGGCCTCAAAAATGTGAGAAAATGCTTCTGGGTAATTTGGCCTTCACTATGATTATGGGGTTTTTGATATTTTGATATTCTACCCCAAATCCTTCTTTCTGTCTCTTACCAACATTGTACTGAAATCTCTTGTCAAAATATTTTGGAATTGTTGTCACGGCTCTAAATATGGACTCCTTGTGCAGCGTACAAAAAGGGATCAAATCCTAATTAGTATGTTCACTTGTTGGGCAACTTTGTCCATGTGGCACAAACCTCTGAATACTATATGAAGCAAGAAAATCTTAACAAAACATTTTTTTAGACTTGATTATCTGAAAATATGTTGAATCGTTTTTGATTAACATACGCTTTTAATGAAACAGTTACCTAAAACTGGCTAGGAAATGAAGCACTCAAAAATGTGTTTATGTTGAAGCATCTTTCAACAACAAGACACTCCATGCAACATTGTCCCAATTCTCACCAGAGCCTGTACACAGTCAAAAATACACAGCGTTATGAACGGTCACATGGTCAGTACAGGAATGAAACAGAACCACCCTCAGACCATGACGGCCGTGCCAGAGCAGCTCGGGGAAACATATACTTAACTGGGATACCATGTGATTTGGCTTCAACTGGGATACGCATGTACTCCTTTAACTGCACATTAAATGGCCTCTATGCAATAACAAGTTAACCTTTTATCTGGCTATAACAAGCTCTACCACCATATCCAAATAAACAGAGGATGCTGTTCAATCGGACCCGCTGAAAGGACTTTTGGGGAATAGGTCAGAAAACACCCACTATTTTTCAAGCTAAAAACTCTTGAATGTAATTTTGCCACACAAAAGGAGCACTGTGCACCCAATGAAATCAGTTCCTTGTTGACATTGCTGTTAGTTTATGAAAATATTCTTTTTCAGCTCGGTTTTGCTGGCTGAGTACAAAATGTGTTTATAACTTTGCCAAAATTCAACTGTGTCTATGCAAGGACACGATGCTCAGTCCTCAACCAGATACACCTGATCATGGATGATAAAGTTTAACAAGTTGATTGTGGTATGAGTTCTGATATAAACAACTGATTTTGGAACACTTTAAACTGAAACATAATAGTGCAAAGGCAGCAATCATCTTTCAAACATTTCAAGATGGTATCAGGTCCCCTCACAACTCAAAACTTCCACTGTGGTCTTACCTGAGTCGGTGGCTGTAATCAGCAGGATGTATTTTTCCCGAGCCTCGCGGTCCAGAGTCCGGGTCAGGCTCAGCTGACCACTGGATGACAGGCTGAACGCACCCTCATCATTCCCACCACTGAGCATGTAGCTTAGCTGGCCATTGGCACTTTGGTCATCGTCTCTGGCAACAACCTGGAAAACAAAGGAACAGGCTTCTTACAGATTCTCAGAATTAAACTCCTTTTAAAAGTTCAAGAAATGTGTTTTCCAATTCCAGCAGTAGAAAAACATTTTGTCTGGAATAAATAGAAGAACTGGAGAGTTAGAGGGATTACTTTACAGATTTTTACCCTATACCTATAGGTATAAAACACAATGGATTGTTATATTGTAAATTAAAATTAAAATTAAAAAACTGCACAATTAGCAGTCCTGTGGCCAGCTTCATAATTAACTTGTTGCTTACATGTTAATGCATCAGCAATAATATAATAAATTGCAATACAGCACTGACAGAGCCAATTTTGCCTTCATAATGAGTACTTTTAAACTTTAAGTACATGTTGCTGATAATACTAACATATGTTTACTTAAGTAAAGGTTTAAAAGCATAACCTTTACGGGTTAAGCAGTAAAATAAACTCGTGCCCAGTTTTGTCACTATAGCTTACTTGGTCCGATAGGACCAGTAGTTCTGGTTGGCTAATGGCAAACCACATATTTCTGTAAAACTGACTCTATGAATGTGATGTCTGCTATTTACAGGATGATAGTAAATGTGACTGCTATTCAACAAAAGTTGTATAGTTCCACTACTGTGCACTGTGTCAAGTACTGTAAACTACCACAAAATTATTATTATTATATGTTGAGTCAATATACCTAATTACTTTCCATCGCTGGAGACAAACTTGTGCTTTTGAGTCATTTAAATAAATCTGACTTGAAATTTCAGTATATTGACCAAATGCATTATTTGAGTGATTTGTGCAGAAACACCAGAGCAATGGCTTAAACGCCATACTCCCCAAATCAAAATATCAAATTAGACACATTAGCAGTTTTATTGCTTTATTCCTTGATATTTTTAAGTGGAGTATTCTTGCAAGAAAGATGGGAAATAACCCAGCATAACCAACATCCTCAACGTGTCTTTCCACTTGAGCAGCTGAGGGTTAATTTCCACCATGGTGCTGAGTGGCACCATGAAGGTAATTGTTGAGGGAAGGAAGATCATTACTTATTCACTTTGTCTAATCAGGCTTTCCAAAGGAATCTACAGAAAGAAAACCAGAAAGTCACAAATGGCTTTTTCTAGGCTGCTGTGGGAATTAAGGACTGACATTCATTTAATGGTTTCTGAGTATGACACTATTAGTCAGTCTAGTTTTTCTCCTCATGCTGGAGCATTAAACTACCACTTCACTGGCGTGCCCAAATGCGTTGTGGGCTCCCCAGCTTTTCCTGCCATGCATGCCGCAGACAGGCACAGCCAGGTTAATATACAGATGTCTGTTCTTGTGTGGCAAAACCTACCATGTCTGGACCCCTTCCTACAACATAAATGTGCCCTCATTTCCTCACAAAGTACACAAGTGAAAGAAAATGGAATTGCGCCGTCACTGGAAATCAGTTCTTCCCCTTAATTTTTTTTCACATGGCTCATTTAGTCATCAGGGCAGCTGGGATGTTGATTGCCTCGTCATGCAATTTAACCAAGTTTCATATTTCGGTGAAATCCAATAAAGCCCTAACAGTGCAGAGAAAATTCCAGTCATATATTATTTCTTTATCATTTCAGCAAAATAAGACCACCTTGCTAAGTGGTTTAGTACACCGATACCGCTCACATACCTGCACTTATTAAGTTAGTATTACTACAAATTTGGTTAAGGCATTAGCTTATTTAAAGTCTTAGAACTGTCATTCAAAACACTGCCCTCTTTTCACTCGCAAAGTCCTGTCTGTGAATGTTAATGACGTCCTAACTTCTTAAATTTCAATGGATGTCTTGACAAGAGAAAAAACAAACATACTGACCTGCAGAATGTTTTTTGGTAGGTTCTCCAAGTTCTCCCGAACATTGACAGTGTAAGGAGAGAGCTCAAACACAGGTGCGCAATCATTGACATCCAACAACACAATGTTGACGGTTGCGCGGTCCACCCTGGGGCTGCTGCCTCGGTCGGCAGCTTGGACCACTAGTGAATAGGATGAACGCACCTCGCGGTCCAGCTGCTTGGCCACTGAAATCACGCCTGTAACCGAATCAATCCTGAAATCAGAGTTGCTGTTGCCTCCTGAGATAGAAAATCGGATCTGCCCGTTGGTGCCCTCATCTGCATCACTGGCAAACACCTGGATGACATCAGTCCCAGTAAAGATGTTCTCCTCAATCTCAATGTCATAGATATTCTGTGAGAAGCTTGGCGTATTGTCATTGACGTCCAGAACCATCATAGTCACATCCATTGTTGAAGACAGGGGGGGTTCGCCTTTATCTGTAGCTACGACTGTGAGGGTATAGTTAGAAAGCTCTTCGCGGTCAAGTTCCCCAACCAACCTGACACCTCCATCGACTGTACCAATGCTGAACTTGTTAGTGAAAGGTCCTTTGAGGGAGTACTCGACATAGCTGTTGGGTCCACTGTCAGCGTCGGTGGCCTGGGCAGTGAACACAACCGTGTCCACTGGCGTGTTCTCCTGAATGTAGGTCATCCTCTGAGAGGTGAAGGTTGGCGGGCAGTCGTTGACATCCAGAAGAATGACCGACACCTGGGAAGTGCTGGTAAAGCGGGTCATGGGAGGCGGAGCCAGGTCATTGACTGTGATCACCAGGTTGTAGAAGGATTGGGTTTCTCTGTCCAAGGCCTTCTTGGTTTGGAGGACTCCTTCCTTGGTGATGACAAAGTGTCCCTGGGGATCACCAGACGCAATTCTGTAGAGAAGCTGGGCATTTGGGCCTGGAAAACATGCCAAGAGGGAATCAGAAGACAACCATAATGATAGTTAGTAGTTATTCTTATACAGTGACCTTTTAAAGCTATATTGGGTAACTACACGTTGCTTACTTACAATGCCAGTGAGATGTTTAGCAAACTGTAGGGCTGCAACTAACGATTAATAGATACAAATATGGCCTTAGTTACTGTTTATTTTAAACACAATTATGTCTAGTGAGAAATAAATAAACATACAAGGAACTAGGTCTGAATGGTCAAAGATTTGATGCTTCGATGGGCGGAGCCTGATTTGACTGTCAATCTCACAGCTGAAGCTTCGCAGCGAAACAAGGATCATGCCATTTTGGTGATATGGGGGTGCTCAACGTCTGATTTTACATAGAACTACCAGTTTTCTCCCAATAACTTCATGTACAGCCTATTACAATATACATTTCAACGTTTAATGCTGTAAATAAACATGTAAAAAGAATAAAACTTTCAATAAATGTTTTTAAAGTGTGTAAATAAATCCAAAATTGTAACCCCAACCCTGGGTCGTCAGTGCGAATGTGTAGCGTGTATGTGTGCAGTGACAGTGGAGGAACACTTGCTGAAGAGACCGAGCCTTAGCTACACTGGTGTTGTGCCGAGTTGTCCGCACCTGGCGGGACTTTTCGGATCATTTATCACCTTTCATGAATCACACAAATATTATATCGTTTTTAAATTGCTGGCTACTTGAAATAGACCCGCAGGAACCGCAACGTGCATGCAGTTGTTGGCAGCACGGCATGCACGCAAAAATCTGCACAAGACCGGTGAATGGCAGACCAGAGAGAGAGAGAGAGAGAAAAGGGTCAATAATAAGTCTGAGTTTAGCTTCGGCTCGCAATTGCCGTGCACACAAAAACACACGATTCGACTATGAGTCAGGACTTGACGATTCTGATTCGAATATGTAAATCCTTAGTCGGGGACGGCCCTACAAGGAACTATTTAGTATGGCCTTGAATTAAAAAAAAAAAACAGATAACAAAATGAAAGAGTGGTCCAGCAGATATTGAATGTTATTTTGACTAGAATCCATTGTTCTAGATGTGAATGTTAAATATTCTGTATGTGTCTGAATTAGGCACTTATATTCGTTATCAGCATCCATTTCCACAAATTGTGAATGTGTAACATCTGGAACCTTGGCCGCTACTCTTGTCCTCCAATTTGACAATCCATTCATGTAACATGACAGATTGCTATCAAAAGAGAAACAACACACAACACTGCAAACCACTTCCTAACCTGAAAGAGCCATTTTGAAAAATCCCTGACAAATGAAACATTTATTTAAAACAGATAACTATAGTGTGGTGGAGTGGATGGATGCAGTAAACTATCTAATCTTGAAATCTGGCCTAATCCGCAGCACTCCCCTCGAACAGGGGGTTAAAGTAAGCTTAAATTGAGCGTCTGTAATTCAACTCAACAGGGTATTCATGTGGAAAGCGTCGGCACCTTCCCACACTCCAGCGTGTATTTACAGTACACAAGTAATCCCTTATCAAAAGCTTGAGTGCTACTTCCATCCGAGTTTAGGCTACGCCATCTAGAGACAAAGTCTGGGGGTCGGGGTTCAGGGATTAGGAAGTGCTAACAATGGCGGTGTTTTATTTTGACAGTGGAAAGGGTAACTATACATCTGGGAGGATGACGCGGTCAGATTATGTGGACAGTGGAGAAAGAAGCCAGACTCTGGTTGAGAACTAGGCAGCGTTTTTCCCAGGAATGTAGGTCACAATAACCACATTAAGCCTGGGTGAAGCGGTAATTACAGCAGAGGAGAGTAGCAGTGACTGTTCAAATACCACACGGCACTTCACAAACACGAAACCCACCACCTGAAACGCAGAAATAACTCAAGCCACTTAATGATACGGTGAAGATGTATTTTATCAAATCATGCATGACACAAAATAAAAATGAAAAATATAATGTACGTTTGAGAGCTTCTGTGTAACCAACTGTCATAACAAAATGACAGGCCTACATTAAAGTAAGCTGCTATGACTAACTCACTTGATTTATACAGCATGAAAGTACATTACTGTTTAAAACATTCCCACAGAACTCTTTCCTTTAAATAGATTGACATCTCTGGGATACTTGACCAGGGTTTCACCTGATTTAACTGAGTACTACAAAAATATTATTTATATAATTATATATATATTATATCATTATTTTTTTTTTTTATATTTGTCTCCTGACACATTGTTCTTGAACTAATACAAGTTATTGTGATTTCGCAATATTGCCAAATGTTTCTGATACAATATATTGTTAAAAACATTTGTTATTAGTGGCACGAAATGGTAATCTAAAATCATTCAAAGAGTCAAATCAGTACCAAAATTTGTCTGGAGGGTGACGTTTATTTATTGTCAGATTGTCAGTTAAATGAAAAATATGCTAAATAAATAATTTAAATATAATAAAACTTCAAGCTGCAACTAAATTACATGACTTCAAGCAGGTAGTTTTCTGATAAAACGTAACTGTTATACAAATGATAAAGAAAAAGAAAACAGCCATGAGAATCAATATATCTCCTATATTTATTACAGCCCGATCAATATATAAGCTGATACTGCTTTCTCACATATCAGTATCAGCATATATGTGAGCAGCAAAAATAAACTGCAGTTAATGAATGTACCTATATTTGAGGATTTGTTTTATTATTTCATTTTTCTTAGTTTTCAGTTATGTTTATTGTTCAGAATGTGTGTTGTTATCTTGTAATTATGTATACTGTCTGTATTGTACTGTTTTGTTTCTTACTGCTAAAAAATAAAAATTTGAGGGATCCCTGCCAAAAATATTTCTTTGGGTTACGTTATTAAGTACATACCATCATCAGCATCCCCGGCCTCAACAGTGACAATACTGGATCCAGGCGGCAGACTCTCTGAGACAGAAGTGCTATACACGGTGGTGTTAAAGATGGGGGGGTTGTCATTCACATCTAGGATGTTGAAATACACTCTGACTGTGCTGGCCTGCCCCCCACCGTCCAGGGCCTTCGCTGTCAGAATATAGTACCGCTGAGTCTCGTAGTCCAGTGGACGTGTCACGTTGAAAACTCCCGTCACGGGGTTCAGAAGGAACGTTTCATCCTCATCATCCTCCTCCAGCAAGTAGGTGACCTCTCCGTTCACCCCTGAGTCAGAGTCGCTGGCCAGGATCGCCGCCACGATGGAGCCTGCGAGAGTCAGATGGGTTGTTGTAACACAGAGGCGAGAAGTTCGACTTTACTGCCCTATAGCACAAAATGACTTTAATATATCTGCAGGGGGTTACAAGAGCTGTTTATTAATACCAGCAACTCAATGATTTCTCTGCCAGTTGCAAAAAACAAAAGAATTTTCTTTAACTCACTTGGCCTGTACTGTTTTGGAACCAAAATGCCTCCATTCATTAGTGTTTAAACAGATGAGTTAGGGATGAAGATAATAATATCTGAGCAAACAGCTAAATATTGAGTGTTTTTATTGGTACTTTATAGGATCATATCTTAATTACATCCTCACTGGACATTTTTCTTTCCTTATTTGTCTCTTATTTGTCTTTTTCTTGTGGTTGAAGCGGTGAGAGGGATAAAGAACTGTGCCAGACAGTTGTCAGTATTATTGTAAATCCTGCTGGTTGCTGATAGATTTCCATATAAATCAAATATCAGTTACTGTCCCTTTGACCTATTAAACTCTTAAGTTCGCCCTTAAGGAAGATACACAGGATTTGGGAGAGCTACAACGGTCAATAAAAAAATGTAAAAAGAATTGTAAAAAGAAAAATAATATACTTTCATAAACTGCTACAAAGAAGCAGAGTCTTTTGATGACCTTCACAGAGCTGTCTAAGTTCATTCAAAGACAAAACATAGCCTGTCTGAGTCCACGATCTTTTACTTTACTGTATGGCTACATTTAAAAAAAAAAATTTAGTGGATGCTTTATTGAGTGACACTAAGACCTTACCTGGTGCCATGTCTTCTGGGATATCAAACGAATATGTTGCACGGGAGAACTTAGGCGTGTGGTCGTTGACGTCCTTGACGGTGATGTTCAGCCTCATGTCAGACGACTGTTTTCCATCGTCTGCACGTACCAGAAGGGAATATTTTGAACGCCGCTCCCGATCCAGCTTCTTGGTGGCGATCAGATCACCGGATTCAGGGTCAATTCGAAAGCTGTCATCTGCCCCACTGATGATGGTGTATGTCACAAGAGCATTAGGACCCTGAGGTAAAGACAGAAATATATAAATTATAGTTTGCTTTTGTTTTTTGCTAGCTTACAAATACAGTAACCGGAACTCAAATGAATATGTTTGTAACATAAAACCATAAACCTCACAACACTTCTCAAACACTGTTCCAACTCACTCTCTCTCAGTATTCATATAGAAAAAGGGGCCAGTAGGTTAGATGTACTTTGCTGAACTTTGTCTCAAATGTGAGTTCTCAGTACAATGAAGAGGAACAGCATTGTGATTACAGGCATCAAAGCAACTCTCTCAGGTAGGAAATCAGATTGTTTACAACACATGTTAGCGTGGCATGTCTCCAGTTTAAACTACCTACTGGTCTAGGATGAATGAAACCCTTCACAGTGACTGTTCTGAGAAGAGTTGCCATAAAGGAAAAGCTTGTGGTTTTTAAAAAGGGATGATACCTTATTGACCTGCACAAACATGATACAAACGTCAAACTTTATGAATGTCCTACTACTTACTTTTTCAACGCTTAAATCACATTATCTATAATAAAATGTATAATTTGTTAGTCTTATCAAGAAGAGGACAGGTCACATTTAGACAGAGACAAAGAAATAGAGGCTGAATGGTGATGTTCTAGTGAGACTCACTTTGGCTTTGAACTTTTGGGGGCTATAGTGTTCCTCTATAAATGCAACTAATAGATCCCCTGTTACCTTGGACAAGTACAAGCACCATGACACATGTGATAGCTATAGCAAGATGCTTTGGAATCGGAGAAGAGGACTGAATGTGATATGACAACTGAATGAGCCTGACGACAGAGATTGACATTTATATTTGTGCCGGGAACAATAAGAGATCAGACAACTGTCTCACTCTGTGTCTTCTGCCAAAAAGAAAAAGCAACATCAAAAAGCTACTGCTATTCAGTGAGATGAAGCTCTGGTTACAGCTGGTTAAGAGCTAAGCTAAAAGAGACTCTTTCAGCTATGCCTGACGTTTGTGTGATGCTTTTTGATCCTTGCAGGACAATGGAGCAGCTTATGTAGAGAGGAGTTGCATTAAGCTGTTGCTGTATCTGCATATCGACAGATTTACTGCCTTGGTGGCACTATATTTTAAATAAACTGCATGCATGCAGTACTGTTGAAGGGTAACATTAGCTGCTGGAGAGTTATGTGTTGCATTGTGATGGCACACTGTCTCTCACCTCTCAATTAATCCGTAGCTTTCAGTAAGGTATTTACTGAGCACCTAAGTTACATATTCAACTCCTCCTAAACAATTAAGCAGTTTCTGTGTGCTGCTTAGCATCTCCATCTGACACTATTGCCACTTTGTCCAAGATGTCCAATGGAAATGATTGACACCACACTACCCCTCGTGTCTTTGTTGTTGCATGTTTAAACTAATCAAAGAAAATGACGAAAAATGTGAAAAATGTGATGAAAGAACTATTATCCGACTCTAGAGTTCCTCTCAGCACTACAGATTAATTTAGCATCGTTAGGCTCATTGTTTTGGTTCACTCTCACTGGTCTCATTAGCATCGGTTCCAGCAACTAGCTGTTGAACATAGGGGAGCATTTAATTTAAAGAATTATTTCCTTCAGGAGTTGTTGGAGACCAAAACAGAGCTAAAAATGTAAGGTAATATTGGACTTTCACTTGCCAGGCGGCAGAACACAACTCCAATTTAATGCTAAGCCCCATGCCTGTTGGATGTGTAAATAAGTGAATTGCTAAGACTTTAGCGAATAAATAAGGTGATAAAATGTGAAACAGGTTATTTCCTGCCCCCAAGTTGCTAAAAAATCTAGTAATGTAGGTTTAAATTCACTATTATATAGAGACAGTAGTCGATGAAAAATATATTGGGTAGATATTTTAGTGTTTTACTAATTTTTATGATGAAACAGACTAAGAATAAGTTCTGTGTGTCACAAAAACCAACCAACAAGTCTGGACACGGCAGTTGTTCGCCAAAAGCTTTAGATGGAGTCAATTTCGTAAGGCCAAGTTCATGACTTGTTCTTATCTCTTTCCCCATGGCCTGTTTTTATGACGGATAAAACCTCTGTCGTCTTGACCCAGTCTCTCATTGCATTACCAGAAAACTGGTCAGAGATCCAAGCCCAGTAAAAAACGACAGAGGCAAGGAAGACGGCGTGAGGCTCTGCTCATCTAAGGACCCTGCTGTCATCAATCAGTGGTTCCAGATCTGGCAATCCCATCAGCCACCTGGGCTGCAGTCCGGAACCCAACACCCGCAGTTTGCCAATTAATTTTCTGATAGGGTTCAAAGGCAGAGCAAGGGAGGTGGGAACGGCTGAGCAGGGGGTCCATCTAGGCCACAATCCAAACACACACACATATGACTTGTGAACCTGGGCAAGCATTTACACACATAAAAATACCTTCACTCCCATTTTAAATGCACTAATTTCTCTGACTAGTCCCATCTCTCTCTCCTTACTAAACTAACATGAGTAATTAAGATCTTACACACAAACACACAGTCATACACTCACACACAGGCTGCCCTCTTGACCTTCACTCGGGAGTTTGACTACTTTACATCTCTCCAAAGACACCGTGGGATGGTGGGGGGGGGGGCTGACCAATTAAACAGTGGCGTTCCAGGGAGCAAACCCGTACCAGACTAGAGCAGAAGGAAACTCATTTAGCAGATGAGTGATTTTTGGGAGCACACAGTTCCTATGAGAAGTGAGAGGTGCGAAGCAGACAGCGCCGGCGGGGATAGCAGGCTTCCTGTATGCAACAGTACAGAGCAAGCAAGCCAATCATAACACAGACTCATGAAAAACAAGCAACGTGTTGTCACTGAGTGCTTAAAGATAAAGCCTTTGAAAGTAGAGACGGCACAGCTGCAGTTTTGTAAATCAGTTTTAAATGCATTAACAAATGCAAACACTGTCTAGAAATATACTTGCAGTGGGTGTGTAGGCCTCTGGAACATATTACCGTTCATTTTGAGGCTACAGTTAACTTTCAGGGCCTCTCTTTAAACACCTATTGTTGCACTTTTCTTCATTAAGAGAGGTTTTTACCTGTGACATATTTTCCACATAAGATCAGCATTCTAATAAAACATTCATAGCCTTTTCAAAAGCACAAAAGGCAGCGTATTTCTTTCAAATGAGGTGAGAAACATTTTCAGAGGTCCAGCCTGCGTTGGACAAAAGAGCAAAGTTTTAGATCGATTTTCTTTCAACCCTAATGCAACCTCTTCCGTCTTTTTGTAGTAGAAATAGGCGTAGCAAAAAACGGATGCATAGAAACAGCATTTTAATACGCTCACACATGAATCCCACATGTAACATCGTTAAATTGGATGGGATCATTATGATGTCTGAATTCAGCGCGTCAGCTGGCCAACAGCTTGCACTCTTGGCTACTCTGCACTGGCTCACACATATGGCTTTCTCAACAAGGGCTCCAAATGCGTTCCGTACGCTCAGTGTCAGCGCAACTTAAGTTTCCTTCGTAAGGATGTGGGCAAAGACTTGGCTGGCCTCATATCTGGCTCTGAGTGAGAGCTGGAATGAAGTACAGGCTTCTATTTAGCAACCTATTCATGGCAGCACTGAAGTTTGCAGTAAACATCTCTCGAATCTGTAATTCCTAAAAAGGCTTCTCTACATTCTCTCTAAGTGTCTCCATGTTTTCTTTTTCATTTAAATCCCTGTCAGGAAGCAAAATGTGACTTATATGCATATATGTGCATGTCAAAATGGCAGCTTAATTTTCTCCAAATGACTAAAAGCCTTAAGTTTCATCTCATGGACCACAGTTCAGGCTGATGCTCCTCTTAAATTTAGATATACGGAAAAAGTGACCAACTGCACAGATTTTAATACCATATGCTCAACCTTTCAAGATCAAAGCTGTGACTACTTTGGCGCTGAAAGAAGAAAACAATCAAATAATGTCCTTAAAATCCCCCACTGAAAAGATTGACCTGCCTCTGGGTAATTCTGAGATTTACAGTCAATATAGTATTCCGATAAAAGAAAAATGGCCAGAAGTGAGACTTTGTACGACTTTTCTTACATTCGGAGAGAAGAGAAGGGGGTGAGGAAACAGCTGTGCAATAAAAGATGTGTGGCCTCATAAGTTAACATTCAATTTGAGTCCATATTCTCTCTTTCTAATCTCTCTTCCCTCTATGGCCTGACTTTTTCCATTCACTTCAACTGTGTCCTTTGGCTTGGGTGAAGGACCGCAGACTTTGGAGATGCCGGCAGGGCCTGCGTTTCGCTTAATGCAGGATTTAATGTCCATATCCTGCCTAAAGCAGCTAAAGATGGAGAATTTAACTAATTGAGAGTGATGCCTGTGATGTAATGTGAACTATGGGGACCACAGAGAGACTGTCAGAGCGGTAGGCCAAAAAATCTATCGCTGGCCGCTCTCCTCTAGGCGCTGTGACACCAGTGGCCCCAACACATCTTAAATAATGTCAACACACGAGAGAGTAAAGGACATGAGGAGTAAAGGATGTGTGTAAGCATTTGTCTAGGGAAGAAATATGTACGAAGACAGTTTGATTCAAAGTGGTGGTCTATGTGTTATTGTGTGTCAATTGAAGGTTAATTAAAGTGTGAAGGGAGCATCTGTCTCGGCCATTTTGTGTCACTGTGTGTTGTCAGGTGTGTTGACTAAAGTTAATGTGTTAAACTAATTGCGCTGTATTCTAAAGTTGACATAATGCAATGCTATTTTGGTTATTTTTAATTTTTTTTTCTTTCATTTTTAATGTCCTTCACAATTCTTTAATTTGCATGTTTTGACTGATCAATAACAAAAAACCCAAAGGTGTTGTCACTGACTAATCAAATAATTCAACTATCAATTTACTTTTACTCTACTGCTATGTGTTTGACACCACATGTAACTAATAACCATAACCTCTAAGAGTATGAATACCCACAACGGACAACTTCTAAATCTTATATTTTGTTCCCTCTATTGCTCATAAGCACATAATTAACATACTGATTTATGTTTTGCTGTTTAATATCAGTCCACATGTCACTTTGCTGCTGAGTAAGGCCAGTTTGCCATTTTATTATATATCATATAACATGTGTTTCAGTGCCAAATGTTACATGTTTGTCAAGTTTCCCCATGGCCAGACAGTTTCTTACCATGGTCTTAAAGTTGTTTAAATTGCTTTTCTGCCCTGAATCTCTGCAATTGTTTTGGCATGAAAATGGTCCAACATAAAAATACTAAATGTTTACTTAACTCCATCTCAATATTGACAGCTGTATTGGCCTCAAAAACTCATTTGAATCTATAGTGGTTTCTAACTGTAGGAACAAAAATGTAGAGTATATTTTTAATTCAAATCACTCCCAGGATATCTATTCTGAAAGCAGTGGAGTGGAAAACGGGCACAGAAAAGTACAAAAACACTGTCAGACAGAATAGAAACTTGGGGAGCCATTACCTCGTCTGCATCCGTGGCTGTTAACTGCATTATCTTGAAGCCATCTCCAACGTTCTCCTCAATGGTCACATCAAGAATATCATTAGGGAAAACAGGCGGGTTGTCATTGACGTCCTGCAGTGTGATCTCCACCTGCAGAGGAAGAATAAACACCACGGTTTCCGTTAAAGGGCTGCCAAAATCTGCCTGCTACAGCTGCTAAGATCGCTGCAAAGAAAAAAACATGTCTATCTTGGATTTCAGATGATGAAGAAGCTGCACAAGCAGAGAAAAGTTATAATTCTCTGACTCTAGAGAGCCTAAAGAGGAAAGCTGTGAAGTGATGAAGTGCAGTATATTGACTAGTAGTAGAGTAAGTATTGAATTAATACCAGATTCTTTTGACATGTATTTAACTGTAACCTTTAAAAATATAGTTTTGGGAAAACAGCCCATAAAATTTAAACTAAACTTTTTTAAACTATGAAAGCGAGGTAAAATCAAACTGCAGTTTCTTAGAGCTTGCTAAAGAGATAGACTTAGCTAAAGCTAATTCACTCAGTTATTCCTGTTTCATGTAATTGAAAATTTTATTTTGTGACTCCAGCCTTAGTAATTGAATGGGTTAAACCACATAAATAAAGCAGTAGCTAAATGTAATCATAATATTAAAAAGTAACAAAAGACAAACCAAAAGATAACTGGCCTGCAGAGTATTCACTGTCATCTCTTTCTTGAACATTGAAATATGAATACTGAATATAAAAGTGAGATGTAAAGATGTAAGTGTTTGTAAAACTAGCTCAAATGGACAAGAAAGCTGAAGAAAAAATTAGATTAGATTAGTAGTAGGATAGTAGTAGTAGCAACAAAAGAACTATTTGCCACTTATCTAAAAAACTGCATTGTGGGTCTTTGGTAGACCTCATATGTCACTGGAGCTCACTGGAGATGTTTTACAACTGTACAATATACAAATTGACTTGGGGTTCTTTTCCATAGAGACATACAGTGAGTGTAACAGGAGAGCAAACTAACTGCAGCAAAGGGATTTTCACTTTCATGTCCTAAAAACCAAAATAAACACACATTATTGTAGACCACAGACCCCCCATGTTGGACTAACTTTGTCCCATGTAGTGAGATTTTCTCTGATAATCTAAATTTTATACATACACAGCAGTGGTAAGAGTGAAACCTATGATTAGATCAATTGTTTATATAAATTATGTGATTTCAAGAACCAAAGTGACATTTAACTTTTCCTCATTTTACAAAAGACCTACCCGTGAACCAACTTAAGGACCTCCAACAGTTCTCCCACCACGCTTGCAGAACCCTCTGTCACAATCCTAGCTAGCGGTTAATACACTACATGGCCAAAAGTATTTGGACGGATTTTTACACATCTTTTGTGCTTTTATTTTTCATGGTTTTGGATAGGCCAATATGGGAAATCTTAATCCTTAAGCACACAATATTTTAGACAATAGTATGCTTCCAACCTTGTGGCAAAGGGAATGCCCTTTCCTGTTTCAACATGACAATGCCCCCGTGCACAAAGCCAGGTCTATAAAGAAGAGACTTTTCCAGTTTGATGTGAAAGAGCTTGCCTGGTCTGCACAGAGCCTTAACTCCATCCAGCAGGTTTGGGATGAACTGGAACGCTGTGTGCCAGACCTTATCGCCCAACCAAACTCACATATGTTTGACATGACACACAAATAAAAAACAATTGCCTACAAGCAAACTAGAATAAATAGAAATAAAAGAGCATTAGTCTGTACGTCAAAATGCATTTACTGCTACAGTACCCCTGAGAATCAAACCAACCTACCACCACATCCGATCACCTATAGCAGGACAGAAAAGCAGTCACACGAGCGCGGATATGCAAATGTCTGAGGGAAAGTGGAAACCCTGGAGACAGTGAGAGTGAGACATTTATGGTTTCAGATGTTCTGTGTCTAGTGTGGCGATATTACATTTCCACTCATATCCCACAACTTAAACTGCGATCCCCTCCACCTCATCCACTAACCCAAATATGCATTTCAAAGCCAGTAAACACGACTCGCTTTTGAATCATAACAGACATTTTGCTGCACATTCTCTGTTTATTGCCTCTATAAATATGGAAAAGCCGTGTTTAAATTCTCCAGTGATAGGATCTCCATTAATGTTGACAGTGATTATGGTAATTCTTGTGCCAGGCATCACAAGATGCCCCCACCTCTCTTTCACAACCCCCTGAAACACACACAGATGAAGCTACGCATTAGTGAGATGAAATAGGAAATGGGAAAAGACCAGTTGTCAAAAGTCTACAATGGGTGCAGCTTTTTAAGGCAACAAGAGTTTCCCAGTGGGCATTTACAGAGCAGACAATGGACCTCAAGGCCGTACGACCAACGAGGTGGGGGGTCAGATACAGAAGCCTATTCATACCTGGCTTTTGACAGGAAAAGCAGACTTCACATGTCCCATAAATCTTAATTGCAACCCATGTAGCAGGAAACTCTTCATAACAGCTGCCACAAACTACTTTTTGAGAAAGCTTAGTTCATTAAGACGACCCAGAACAAAAAGCTTGAGGGAGGCATGAAATGGTGTCAGAGTCTGGCTGAATAAAATATGCTTCTTGCTGTTTACTGCTATGACACCTACCACAACAGGGCAAGTCTATGCAAGGTCACAATTACAACAAATCTCATTACTGAACACGTATTCATCTGATTTGCTTGTGCCCGGATGAGGATGTTGTCCACTTATTAAACTGACTCTGAGTTGGTGTCTGTGTATCTGCATGAGCAGAGATAATTACAGAAGAAAAAGACAGATTATGTCCTGGGCACCAGTGATGCAGAAGTTGCATAAACAAGGCACAATGACAGCGGCTCTCGACTCAACTTGCGCTGAGGGACCGGGGCAAAGTCAACAAACAATGAATATTTATCTCCCGCCCTGTGTGTCCCCTTGATGTGTAAATAATGCAAGGCCCACTTCTGAGGAGTGAACTAATTAGGGTAGAAGTGCAGTTTTGAGAAATAATTACGCCTCACGCTTCCAGTTTGCATTGCCCTGGCTCCCACGAGACAGGAACATATCAAAGAGCTTTGGTGAAAAATTCATTGGAGAAAGAGGAAGCAACGTCAGGAAGAGGAAGGTTGAGAGAAGCAGGAAGAGAGGATTTGTTCCCTCTACCTGTCTGCAGCGGACCCAGACGCCCTGGCAGAGGCAGGTGAAACACATTAGTTTACAAGGTAAAAGATTGTGTTTCATGAACTACTGTTTCAAGTTGCAGGTGCTGCTAACTGTCTGCCAGGGTTTTATTATTTATGGGGCAGTATGAATGATTCACGCGTCAAGTGGTTCCTGAGAGCTGTCGATTATGAGACCTTAAGTGATGGAAGGTATTTGTCCATGAGGTTGAGACTGGAGCTCGTACTCCGCAGTGATAAATTAATTGTTTCCCTGAGCTTATTTGATATACGCAGGAGTGATGGGTGGGAAAATTTAGAGGTCTGAGCTTAAGTTTCCTTTATCACTCATATAGTTTAAATTTAAAGCATCAGTTCACCCCTATTACAAAAGGATATATGTTTCCGCCAAACTCTAGTAGTATCTAGCCAAGCAGATATTTTAGCTTTTATATGCCAAGGTTTTGAAATATGTAAAAATTTCTGCTGTGACCCAAATAAAAATGGGTAAAATGGATTTTCATTTTTGTTGCACTCAAAGCATGGGGAAACTTTGGTCTTCCCACTGAAAATGTCCTGGTTATTTTGAATAATTCACAGACCTCATTGGAACTTCTTTCAACCAAAGAAATAGTTTGTATGAAAACTGTTAAGGGGATGTCTGTGGATTATCCAGAGTAACCAGAACATTTATTCTTTTTTAATGCTATGAGGAGCACATTATATTAACCTCCACTGTATTGTGGTGGACACAGAAGTTTCAAAGGCATTGGCACGCAATATGAGAAAATACTGTATGTCTTTTTGTCATTTGAGTGACCTAACCTTTAAAAGTGTTGCTGCATCATTCATTCACATTTTGTAATACTGACACCACATTTAGCCATATTTTAAAAGACATGTGGAAGCCATACAGACAGCAGACATCAAAGTACAGACATTTACCTCAAGAGCAACAGAAAATACCAAATAATTCTCAAAGTGAGAAGAAACTGTTCAGGTTACAGCTGATAAAGGTAAATCACCTGAGTTGCTGAGAGCAAACAACCGTTGCCATTTTCCCCACAACTAAAAAGTGGAAGTAGCACATGTTTTCATATGTTTCCCACTTAAAATCTCTCATACTTGCAGTTCTGCCAAGTCCTCTCCAGACAGACAGACAAGGGGAAAAGTCACTGCAGGAGCAAGAGATCTATTATTTGAACACAATCCTATGGAGGCTGCACACATATTTTGTCGGTTACCGACTCAGTTATTTTTAATAACCGGTAGAGGGTCTGATTAATTAAGTGAGGAATGGTTTGCATTACAGCTGAGTACTAAAGCGCATGCTTGCTCCATTGAACACCATGAACCTCTGAGTTAAAAGGTTAAAATTCACATCATTAGCACAAACATTTCTTCCAAAGTAGACCTTGCTAAAAAATGTAACCCCTGAGTGCAACTGATGCAACAGTTGGCCTGTAAATGTTGAGCTCATCTGATCGTAAAAACTGGAGCAGGGTGTGCCTCCTGCAGGAAATAATCATTTCAAAATGATTGAATGTCTGATTAGATGCTGTTGACGAGTTGGGGTCAAGGGTTAGGGGAAGCACTGACTTCCAGCTCTCATTATACCTGGCCTCTGAGATTAAATGATTCCACTTTGCATCATCCATTTTTTACGGACAAAAAACTGGGAACACAAAGCAATTCCAAATATAACACTTCATTACAGAGCCAGAGCTAGAATCATCTGTTGTTAAAAAGAAATTACTCACGCTTTGGCACAGTATAAACAGCTAAATGGCATAAAGGAATTTTTGCAATACCATAAAAGAGAGTCAACACTAAAAGCCTTTGAAATGTGCAGATATATATAATAAATAACCAAAACTAATCCAGTCTGAGGTATAATACACTTTGTTTACAATGATACGATGGTTATCTAAAGTTACATTGGTCTAATGCCTC